TGTTTTGTTCTAATACCTTATACCTATTTCTACATAGATATTTAAAGCTTAAAAATATTGAAAATCTGATGTATCCCATAAAATAATAATTTAATAATATAAACATTAAACTATTGGAATTTTATTCCTGTTAACTTATTTTAAATTATTACAAACTTAACTGAATGTTTATATATTAAATGTTTTAAATTGAAAGAATACACACATTTTCAAGTATAAAATGTTATACTAGTAAGTACCTAATAGTTATACTTCTTTGAAAATGCATAGGTTATATATACTATGAATGAATTAAGAAATGAGGGATTATTTAGAATATTGTGTACTTATAATACATGATTTATGATTCACAAGTCAACTTGTTAAAATATACGTAATACGAATATCAAACATAATTTTTGAACACGATACAATAATATTGTACATCGATTAAAAGAAGATTAACTTAAAGGGATTTTCATATATTTTCAACTTCAAGTTCAATTTTATATAAATCATACATGTATATAGTTTAAATATATCTTTTTTTTTAGTATTTGGTAACATTTATAATGACTCAAAGTATAAAAAGCATTACATTTTTTTAAATAAAAAACAAATATGAATATACGCCACATCGTTCATTGTGATTCTTGCAGCTTGCAGATTAAATTAGTGAATGCGCTTTGGCTCATAAAACAAATTAAAGGTAACCCCGGCTTATGTCACACAAATCAAAGAACTGACTTAATTAAAAGTGTATTATACACAATACGCTAGACGTATTGTACAAATTACGTTTATACGGTTTTGATTAATTACACGACCAGATCGTATGAATGCAATGATAATATAATAATTTACCTTTTATGTGACATCATAATCATAATGACCGCCATGCTTTTTTTTTTGCAAATTTTCAAATGAGCGCTGTCATCAGTTTCTTATAACTCATTCTTAGTGTAGTCTTTTGTATTCACAAGATATAAATTTATATAAATACGTAGACGGTGATAATTTATATGTATAATATTATATTAGCACGGTTAAACAATTTTATTTGTATAAACACTATTTCCTTTGTTATGTTTATTTTATTTTTTGTACAATAGGTAAATTCTTTGCAGCTTACTTGCATATCATGTAATATATTATGAATTATATTATTAGACATTTTTATAATAAAATAATTAATAAAATACTATACAGTTGTGTAGATATGATAAAATATTCAAATGAGTACAACGAGAAATATATTTAAAGCTGAACAGTGTGTAGATCATAAATAGAATTACGTTTCAATGATTATATATATTGTATAATCTAAATTAATATACCAGCGCTGCAGTTATATCTTTTGTGTATTGTGAGAAAGTCGTCTATGATTTGTTTATTACTTTTTTAATATCCATTACCAATATAATGAAAAAAAAAACAAAGATACATAGATACTGTTATATTTATGCGATAAGTGCAATCAGTTTTGATGTACCTATTGATTACATGTACATTTTCATTTCATGAAATAGTGTAAAAAAAAAAAACGATGCTACTGCACGATAGTATAGAATAATATTTAGGTTACCATAAATAATTTTAAAAATTTTGATGAATAAAACAACTTACAATTTTTTTAACAGTAGAACTGATATTTGTATTGTTTTTACTTGCCAATAGCTTAATTACGATTTACTATGGAAGATATTATTCATATTTTGCTCGTATTTCCGTTGATTGAATAAAATTATATAAACATTTTCTAATCTAGTCAAATCTTTATCTACTCGTTTTAAGATACTATCAAAAGAGATAGTAACTACGATTTAAGTGAATATAAAAAAGAATCAGAACAAAATATATGCAATACAATTTTTTTTTAATTAAAATTTTGTTTCTTAAATAATTTATATTCACTAAAAATTCGTCATTTTATATTTTATTATGCTCATTATGCTCTTTAAATTGTAAAAATGGATTTAAAGTTCTGAATTTTTGAATTTTAATAAATTAAAGGGCAAAAATAGAGTCGAACATACTTGATGAATAACCTTATACACTTTTTAATTCATTTAGAATTATGCAAATATACTATATAAGTTTTTCACATGTAAAATAACTTGATATATTATTTTTTAATTAGTAATATTACTTACAACATGAGTAATGGAAAACATTTTTTGTAGACTTCCAGCTAGTCGTATCAAACTAACGGGTACCTGATGTATCAATAAAATGTATATTATAAATATGTAATGTTATACATAAAGTTACAGCCATTGAAGGGGTGACTTATCCAATAAAGTCAATAGATTTTTATTAATTTAAACTTACACATATATATGCATAATTCAATAGTTGTATGTGACTAAATATAACTATATACAGCTACAACACTAGTTTTTATACAAAAACCTCCCCTTTTAAAATAAACTGCAGACGGTGGTGCAAGTTTAGGGAATATACTGAAATATTACAGAATACAGTAGCGGTAATAGTGGTAATAGTGGTATATAATAGTAGTATATAATTGTTAGATGCTCGTTTCTAAATTTACGCTTCGTTCGCCAGTTGTTTCGTGTTTCCCGTTTAATGGTTCGCGCCGCCCGGTCGGCCACCGCAGCGTAGACTCCGCCTCGGCCGCCCTGTACGTTAATTGGCCACTTGTCCAATGGCTGTGCTCCAAAACCATTCCCTCAGTTAAATAAATATTTTCAATTTCTTTCACACCCCGTCCTCGCACAGTGCATGTATACCATTATATAATTATTATTAAGTGCACACATATACCTAGCTGTATTCAGTATAATATACACCTCAAACGGAAGTATATTCGATGCACTCAAGTTGCCGCGATTACATTTCATACATACGTATATAAATATAATCACTAATTTTTTATACATATTTATTATAATATTATTTAAAGGTATGATATAATATATTATTATACGATACACATAATAATATATAATTATATATTATATATCTAATATATATGTATGTGTGTGTATGTATGTATGTAATATGTATTTGCCTAATTGGTTATGAGTAAGGCTGTGAATTTAATGCACTAAAAAGCCTTAAAAATGTCAAAAAAATGCAATAAAATATGCACTTAAAATCAAAAAATGCAATATAAAATGCCAAAAATTATAGTATAAAATACACTTAAAATGGTTTTTAATTTAAGTTTTAAATTTATATTGATATTGTAGGATATTATACATTTAGTGCATTACATTTAATATGCATAAAAATGTATTAATTTAATAAAAATAAATAAATATATTAAAATGTTGATTAAATTTGAAATTTGTATGATGTTATTCAGCTGAAACACTTTAAATTTTTTCTTATGTACTGAATTAGTTAATAATTAGGTTTGAAGAAGTTTAATTAAAAATAACGAAAAATGATCTAAAAAAGAAAAATATGACCTAAAAATGCAAAAAAAAAAAATGATCTAAAAAATTAAGCATCAAAAAATGCAAAATAAAATTTTCTTGAATGAATTTTTTATTACATAATTTAAAATATGTACTTACAAAGCTACGTTTCACAATCACAAAAAAAAAAAAAAATGCACTTTACTGCGAATTCGCAGCCCTAGTTATGATTTAAATCTACGTCAAAATAATTGTATGTTTTAAAAACAGAAAAATAAATATAATTAACCTGAATTATGCATTAATGTATTTGTAATTTATTGTACCTTTTATGATGTAGATATACACTATAAATCGCGGTTATAGCGGACTTGAGTTAACTAAGTATGAATTTATTATTAACCGATAGTCTATATTTATTACAATTTACAATAAAAAAACTATACATTAACAAACTTTTTTTTTTTAAAGTTATAAGTATACAAAGTGATGATTCTAAGCTTTTATTATTAGCTAAAGTTAACTTTCCAACCATATTATCTTACAAAAAGTCATTGCAGTATTATACTATTTGTAAAGTTATTAGAAATTAGAAAATTTTAGTTACATTTAATTTTTGTTACTTATTTAGTGGGTGTTTAGAAGTTCTGGGTGGAATAAAGTAATACGTATCGTTAACGATACTACATATGAAACAATTACAATTAATCAGATGGAAATGTAATAGATCTCTTAAGCCGATAAGAAAATAAATTAAGTTTATACTCAGTGTAAAGTATTCCGTTGGGAAATTAACTCATAAATAAATCTACTTACATATATAGTCATAGAAGGGAATTCAATTTTATTTATATAAAATATTTTTGTAATTGAATTAATCAATAAAAAAATCATATAAAATTATTACTATATGGTATATAATATATACATTAGATGTATATTTTAGACATACTTATAATAAATTGTATAGTTTTCTTTATTGCTAATTCATTGTTTAAATGAAGTTCTAGAAATTATTTGTTGATTCAAATTACATAAATATATAACGGTATTTTTTCAAAAAATAATAATATACACTATAAAGTATAGGTACATAATATTACGTATAATTCGCCTATTTGTACGTAACAACCACTGATATAAATATTGCAAACTGAGTGTAAGTATTGTTAGTTTCAATTTTATAAATGCATATTTATAATTGTCTGTATATGTTATACCTATAATATATTTATTAAATAATCAAAGTAAATAAAGTCTTATGAAATAGGACATTATAATATCAATATAATAATGTCCCAAATGTAATATCAAACCTATAATATATTATTAATAACTAATAAGTGAATACAACTTTGAATATATATGTATAATATTTTCTATATACAGGTAAACAATAACAATATTTAAACTTTTTAAAACCATAATTCATCATTATACATGTACATATATATTAACATAGATATCACTTATACCTTTACATAAACACAACTTATGTTGTAAATTACTCGAACTATAAAATATTTTGGGAATTTAAAATACGTGTTTATATTAATATATAAGCTAAGATAAATGTATCGCATGTAGAACTGATATGTTGATAAAATTATGAGAAATAATAATTATAAGTCTTACCTGTATTCGATCTTCGGGTAAATCTGTTTTTAAAGATAACATTTCTCTTGCATAGACATCTGGATAATGAGCGTCTTTGAAAGCCTTTTCTAATTCTTCTAATTGGTAACTGGTGAATATTGTCCTGTATAAATATTTTTTAAAATTATAAATGTTTTGAATAAATACAGATAAATTTGGAACCTAAATAAAAATAATCTATTATTTTTAATTTTTAATTGAAGAAATACCCTGAATTATTATTTTCAAGTACAATAATATCAAATTTCTCATTTAAGATAAATCATGGTTTTTTTAAAGTGTGGGGGATTTTTATTTAAATGCTTGCCTGTGCCTTCTTTTTTTCTTCTTCTTGTTAGAACCAAATGATGTTGTCATTGCTTCATTACTGTAGTCTTTGCCTGATTCCTGATGGTTTAAATGACTTAACCCTGAAAAAATGATACAATTATTCAAAACAAAATTAAAAATCTTTTCACGATTAATTAAATTATGTTTATATGGAAATTGTAAATAATATTAGCGAGTTTGTATTTAAAAACATATCATATTGGTTACATTTTAAATGAAAATGTGCAATATATTAGTTTGTACAGTGTACACATATTATACAAGTATACAATTAAAAAGGTAAATAATATATTACTACTATGTAATAGATATGAATTGCTGACATGTTTTTTTTTTGATATTTTAAAATAATTATTTTACTTATAAATATTTGAATTCAATAAAAGTGTTCTTATAAGTATTATTGTATGATTTTCATACATAGGTAGGTACGCTACATTGTATTAATTACAGCAACATTTTTTTAAATAACCAGGATAAGAAAGTTTTAATATTTCTTATGCAAATAAAAGTAAAATAGAGGTGAAAACGGTTAGTAAAAAATCTTTCATCAACGACATTTGTCGTCCAAATAACCCTCTAATTTACATTTGTATAATATATATTTATTGTTACTTGTTTCGCAAAAAATAAACAATATTACACAATCTTACACGTACTTTCATACTAATTGAGCACTGTTTTTTCAAGTGCCACTTCATAATATGCGTTTTATTGTTTACTTAAACAAATTATATTCTTGACATCCTATGGTTTACACAATAAACGTCTTGTATTTTTTTTCATACCACTACTTCTATGAACATATATACATTATACAATGTATATATTTACTAATGAAAATTCTTATGTAGATAATATGTAAAAGTAAGATTTATATCAAATTCATACACTTAAATACCTAAATATATTAAATATATGATAAAGTAATTGTGTGAAAAAACTGTAAGCAATTAAACTGAATACTATATCATAATATACTTAATTTTATAAGAGAGTATAATGATAGTTCAAAAGTCAAAATATAATATATATTATAAAAGTATTTTGATGTTTTTTTTCAAATTTAAGAGCTTAATAATTTAAACTATCTATACCTAGATCATTATTTTTTATTTTAATTAAACCACTATAGAAAATAAATACAATTTGAGTTACATAAATTTAGAACTGTTTGCATAGTTTTAAAAATTAAATTTTCTCCAAGAAAATCCATGACATTTTAAAGAAGCAAATTTAACGTTTAATATATTATATAATATATATTTAAAAAAATATATCTAGTCAAGCAAATTTTATTTTATAAGTTATTTAAGTTTAAATATAAAAAATGATTGAATTATATTAAAACGATTTAATAATTAAAGGTTCACGAGTAAAACACTCGATCAAAAACCAAAAGACGATAGCAAATAGTATTATAGGTACCTATGGTAAATTATAATTATAATTAAATAACTTCAAAGTATTAAAATATCGTTACTATTAATAACTGAATAAAATTGCACTATTTAAGTAGACTTTTTAATGAAAAATAGACTTACGTTCCAAATCGTATATATATATACAGTATAAATATTGCATATATTTATTAAGTTTCGATATACTATATTATAGTATGTTAATATTAAACAAGAGTTATATATTTTTGTTGGAATACCTATGGCAAATAATGTAAAACACAGATGAACTAAAAATTATAATAATATTTTACGAATTAATAATTTTTAATAATTATGTTTAAAAAATGCATTAATAGTACACTATAGTCACTAGCACATTGCTGGTCTATAATACACATATACACATGTGGTGTGCAAAAAAAAGTTTGAGATCATCTGCTAATAATTGCTATACCTAGTCATATAGAAGTATGTGTAGAGAAAATAGTTAAAGAGAGAGTAGAATAGACAGGTAACAAGAACCAAATACGATTATCGTAATTATATAATATCAGTAAAACAAATATTTTGCAACGAGTATAATTAAATTGTTTAATGCATTTTGTATAGCTTTACTGTTTTTACGCCACTCAAGTACTGACGGATAAGGTGTATTATAGTGGATGTTTAAAAAATAAATAATAAAAACAACTTTTTCCCTTTTCTCCATTGGAGAAGAGCAATAAAAAAAAGAAAAATAATAATAAAAAAAGTAATAATAATAATAGTAAAAAAATGGTGTGTACATGTTCGCGAGCGGGTGTGTGTTTACTGCATGACACGGTCGCGGTGTGTACATACACATATACGCACACGCACTCGATGGCAAAAAGCTATGGTTCGTTTCTGGTAACCATGGTGACAGCAGTGCGACCTGCTGGTTTTATTATGTCGTACTCGCATTTATAAAGGCCATGGTGGTGTATGTGTGCGCGTGAGTATGTATGCGTGCGTTCGTACGTGTGTTTGTAAAAGGGAGGAGAACGTTTGTCGGATGAGAGACGAAATAACGAGAGCGAGAGAGGGTAATAGCAGGATGGCAAGGATTGAAAGAGTGAGCGAGAGAGATTGATCGAACCGGGTAAATAGTGTGGTAGTGGGGTGAGAGGGTGAGAATAAGAGACAGGGCACGGGGAAAGATTATATGCGATTGCGTCTTTTCCGTATAAAGGGCGGCGCCGCCACCGCTGGTTGCTTTGCTAACTTTTGTGTGCAAACTGCCAAACTTACGATTACGGAACCAGAATAGACACCACAAACGGTGTAAAATATGTATGTATATATCTATTATTTGATTTAAGGGACACTAATTGGTGTGCGTCGTCGCTGCTGCCGCAACAGTAAATATATACTCCACCACTGCAACCAAGTCGTATAAATTATTATATCCTTCGCGTACCTTTATATTATATATATTATATATATACTCAACACTCTGCACAGTGTTACATCGAGTCGTGCGCTTTCTCGGTTTAGCATTTTGTGTATACTTATAATGATAATATTACATTATCGAAATATAATATATAATATGTGTGTAACAGTCTTCAAACAGTGGTATTCAACAATCGGTCTAATGAAGATTCCTGAAACTGTCGCACCGTTACCGGAGCACACTTTTGCCGTCCATAATGTAATGTAATAATATAGTAAAGTATAAAATGCATAATGCATATGTATACATATTAAATAGAATAATTTATAAATTTATAATAGCATATATTTATTGATTATAAAATCAATATTATATGCTTATGTATTATGTATTTTAAAGTAAGTTGTTTAGATTTAAATCATGTAATGATTATTTAAAAATAGTTTAATAAAAACTACAATTTAACTATAGCTCTGTAATCACGATATTTATCAAAACTAAAAAAGCTTAAAAAGCTCTGCCTATTAGAAAATCGATAACAGTTTTTATTTTAAAATACATTCAGTAGAGATTTTGGTTTTATGGTTTTCAGAACGTTTTAGATCTAACTTCTAATATTATTATTTTCTGTTCAATTTTAACATTTAAATAAATAACATTGATATCACAAAAACATACAGTAAGTAAGTATAGTACTATAATAGGTATACTATAAACATATAACTACACAAGTCCATATTGGGTAAGATGACGAATTCTAATACTACGTATTTATTTTAACTAAGTAGGTTAAACATATCATTATAAGTTAATGTACCTATGTATCTATTTGTTTTTCTGTAGATAATTTTGATATGCTTTTAAAGTAAATGAAATTTAGATAAAATGAAAAAAAAATATTGTGTTAATACTTAACGGTTAACAAAATAAAAATAAATATTTCAAATAAGTTTAAATTCTATTGAATAATTTGTTTAATAAAAAGCTATTTTCCCTACAAAAAAAAAAAAAAAAAAACTATTTGTTTTAAGCTTCTAAAAATAACATATTTATTCTATTTAGTAATTGATTTGAACTCAACATTTTTTTAAATTAATATAATATTGTATTAAATATATTATTGAACTATAGAACGAATCAAATTCACAAATTTAGTTAAAATACCCTTGTTCACAAATTAGTTTATACGCATTAAAATTTCTGATAGATTCGTATTATATGTCTTATTGTATTTAGTATTATAAATTAACTATGCCATTCAGTCGGCCTAAAAATTATAATAGAGTCTTATATAGAAATGGAATACAAGGTAAGATACTTTTGTCAGAAAATATAAAGTGATATTGTACAAAGTAAAACAAGTTACAAGTAAAACTGCACCAATTATTTGCTTATAGTGTTATACAATGGATACATAAATGGTATAAATGATTATTCAGCATGTATGTAAATTGAATAAATTGCTTACAATTCATGAAATTAATTAAAAAAATAATAAATTAATACCACAGATAAAGATATATTAAAAACCAGTTAACATCAGAGAGTAAAGAAAAAAAATTTAAATCTTCTCTTTAATACCCTTAGATTTTAGTGTATATGAATGAGTTATATTGGGAGCTATGTCAATGTTTATAATATTTGATACAGGGTAAGATAATAATTTATATATTAATTTTAACTTTTAACTTTGTAACTGATAAATTGTATATTATATAACTCAATAGAACTAATGCAGCCTAATACTGCAGCTAATACTTTATGCAGCTTATAATATTATATATTAGTTAGTAATGTATTGAAATTGAATAAAATATAAGCAATATATTATAAACTTAAACAGTATATAATTATTAAAATTAAATAATTTTAATTTATAGAATTAAAATTTAACTATATGCGAAATGATGGCGTATTTTGTTTGTTCAGCAAAATTGTATATTATTTTTTATTTATATCTATAAACGTACTTCAGTAACGGAATCATATTTTTATGCATTAAGTGTTAAAAATGTAAAATATTAATCAATTTTAAATTGGTTAAAGATGAACAAAAAATAAAAAAAATAAAAATAATTACGCTGTTGAATATTTACAGAATATGGCTCATTCAATACACTTAATATAAGACATTTTTTGAAGTTGAAGATTGATTATTGATTTTAACTTTCAAGCACACCTAATAGTGATGTTTCAACTTACAATACATTATTATCTTGAATCAAATTATAGAATGAGATACAAGTGTCTAACATCACTGATT